TAGTAGTAGTGGTAGTGGTAGTAACAATATTTGTAACCGACGTCGTCGTATTAGAACATAAGAATGCGGGTCGCAGAAACGGCCGTAGTTGTTGTAGTCACTGTAATATTTGTAGCATGGAAAAGTGGCAGTATGATGTGCTGAAGTAACCGCCGTATAGTAGTAATTCTACCAGCCATAGCAGAACATTGCCCGTTGTATGGCAGAGTATGCAACGTGTACAGATCGGAACATGAAACACTTGACACCACTAGTCGCAGCAAATATGGCATCGGCAACTGTAACAATAATGGTGGTGCATCCCGATATAGAGTAGTATGAATAGTAGGCGTGGCCGTATGAGCAATGGCAGCGCCAGTGGACCTAGATGGAGTTGGAAATTGCAGTAGTGGGGGGGTGCCACGAATAGTAACGGTAAACATGGAGGGACACGGGGGTAGCGATAGTGGTCCTGGTCGTGGGAGCAAGTTTGGTACGAGTCGTCGTGGTATTGGGCATGGTAATGGTCGTAGTCGTAGTCGTAGAAATAGTAGCAACGGTAATAGACGTAAGAGTAGCAGTCGTGATTGCAATAGCCGCCGTCGCCGTCGTAGCACTAATAGCGGTTGAAGGAGAGTTGAATTAGTCGTGGCAGTAGTGGTGGTAGCAGTATGAAATAGTTGTAGCACTCGCAATAAAACGAATCAGTAGTAGCAATAAAACGGATAAAAGAAACAGATCGTAGTGGTAGTAGTCGTATTAGAAATGGTAGCAATAATCGTAATAGTAGTGGTAACAATAGTCGCAGTAGTAGTCGTACTAGTAGTAGCAGTCGTTGCACTAGTAGCAACTGTTGTGATAATAAAAGTCGCAGTCGTCGTTGAGATGGTCGTTAAGAGTAGTATTAACCGTAGTAATAATAGTAAAAAAGGTAGCAGTAGTAGAAGTCCTCGTCGTAGTAGAAGTAGTAGTCGTAGTCCCAATAGTCGTCGGGGTACGTAGTCGCAGAAGTAGTAGCAGTAGTAAGAGCAGTAGTACTGGTAGTAGTAGTAGCCGAACAAGTAGTAATAGTAGCTACAGTAGTAGTAGTAGTAGTAGTAGCAGTAGTAGTAGTCGTAGTAGTAGTAGTCGTAGTAGTGGTAGTAGTCGTAGTAATAGTAACAGTGGTATTAGTAGTTGAAGGAGTAGTGACGTGTGCTAGTAGTAGTAGTAAGAGTAGTAGTAGTAGTGGTAGTAGCAGTGGTAGTAGTAGTAGTAGTAGTAGTCGTCGTAGTAGTGATAGCAGTAGTGATAATAATAGTTCGTAGCAGTAGTAGTACTAGTAGTAGTAGTAGTGGAAGTAGAAGTAGACGTAGTAATCGTAGTCGCAGAATTAACAGGAGTATCCGCAGTAGCTGCTGTAGGAGCAGAAATAGTAGCAGCAGCCGCAAGAATAGAAGTAGTAGTAGCAGTGGTAGTACTCGTACCACGGGTAATAATAGTCGTAGTAATAATCGTAGTAGTAGTAGTAACAGTAGTCGTACTAGTAGTAGTGGTAGTAGTACTGGTTTCGTAGAAGTACTACTACTACTACTACTACTACTACTACTTCTACTACTACTACTACGACTACTACTAATACTGCTGCTACTACTACTACTACTAGTACTAGTACTAGTACTAAGAAGTAGCAATGCTAGTAGTACTGATCGTCGTCGTAGTAGTATAATAGCAGTGTAGTAGTAGTAGTAGTAGTAGCAGTGGTAGTAGTAGTAGCAGCAGCAGTAGTAGTAGTAGTAGTAGTAGTAGTAGTAGTAGTAGTAGTAGTAGTAGTAGTAGTAGTAGAAATAGTAGTAGTAGCAGCAGCAGGAGCAGCAGTAGTAGTAGTAGTAGTAGTTGTTGTAGTAGTAGTAGTAGTAGTAGTTGTAGTAGTAGTAGTAGTACTAGTACTAGTACTAGTACTAATAGTAGTAGTAGTAGTAGTAGTAGTAGTAGTAGTAGTAGTAGTAGTAGTAGTAGTAGTAGTAGTAATGACAGGACGCAGTAATGCGAGTCGTCGTCGTTATAGTGGAAGTGTAGAGGCAGCAGGGCGAGTAGCAGGACAAGCAGCAGGCCGAACAACAGGAGCATCAAAAAAACACAATGAGAAAACATGACGTAGCAGGAGGAACCGCTGGAGGAGCAGCAGGAGCAGCCAAAAAAACAACCAAAAGGACATACGGAGGAGCAGCAGGAGAAACACAGTAGGAACACCACAGCAGCAAACGCGCAGCAAGAGCAGCAGCTGAAGCAGGGAGAGCACCAGAGCAGCCATCAGGAACAGCAAGAGAACCTGGAACAGGAGGAACAGTGGAATAGTAAGAGCATCCGAAGATCAGCAACAGCAACATGGAGGAGGCGAGGCTGAAGCACCAGCATGAGAAAACATCAGGAGCAGCAAGTTATGCAGGAGAAGCACCAGGAGGATAATGACCAGAAAGATCAGCTGCACAGGAAAAGAGAATCAGACACAACAGGAACAGCAGCAGCAGGATTTAACCAGTGGATTTCCACCCCCGAGTTGCCTGCTACCCATGTTTTGCCATTGCAGATTCAAGTCCAGCATCGCCTTCCACATCTTCTGTTTGGCCTTGCGCACTCGATGCGCGTCGTCGTTCTGCATACTAGCAGATTGCTATGCCGTCTGGGGGCGTAAAGTAGTTACGCATTTGCTCCTGACATGCAGCATCACCAGGAAAGCCCAGCATCTATCATGAGGGGCAGGATAGGGAGGGTGGGGGGGAACATCGACCAGGAATCGGCGATAAATCGCCGATACATCGGCGATAGCCCTCCGATTGTGAATCCGCACAATCCTGGGCAGGTTGAAGCTATCGGGCCCATATCGGCGATCAGTGGGCGATTTGGGGTCGATGCGTCCA